ACAGCTGGAGCAACCAGGCAGTAGATGGTACATTGGCCTTAATGTTCTCATATTAGCACATTAAGCAAGCAGAAAGGGAGCTTTTAATTATGCCTGTGTTTTTTGTTTTTGTTTGTGTTTTGTTTTGTTTTTTAATGGCAACAAGATACATGCCTTTTCCTGACCTTCCTGCAAAGTCAATATATTTTTTTGGTCCAAAGCTGAATTTAAGAGAGATAACAAAAGTGCATGGATTGAAGGATTATTCTGAGTATCTGAGAAAGACTGTAAGTAGGAAGTCATGGACTTCAAGCACAATCCCAACTGGTGTTTGGTGTTCTAAACTGTAAGTTATTCAGCATTTCAAACTGACAGCTTGTAAATGTAAATTTTATTAAATGCACAGCAATAAAATTTTGTAAGTTTCTGCCATTTTGAATTTTAGTGGCTCAGATTGAAGCCTCCAGCCTTTTAAATCACAACTTGTATGAGCACAGCTCTAAAGCATTCTTAAATGTGTGCTTTTCAAAGCCTTGTTATTGCCTTTGCTCACAAAATATCCTTGTCAGGATCCAGGTATGCATGTCTCATGTCAATGATAGCCTGACAGGCTCATGCCCTCTGTTGTGTTTACACTGTATATTGTATACTACTTTCTTCTCTTCATTCTCACTAGGCAGAAAATGAAACAGGGTTAGCAATGATATCTCCCTTCAGACAAGCTAGATTTTCTCCTTTGATCTCCAAAAAAATTCTCTGCATGTCTATGGCAAGAGTCTGGCTCAAGGATCCTTGGTTTGCACTTGAGACAGACATCGAAGGATTCAGGACAAATGAAAATGTACCAACACCTATCAGCTAAAGCTGAAATCTAGCAGGGAATATTTTGGGAAAGTTCTTGCATGACAAAGTGAGATCAGTGGAGATCTCTGGTAACATTTTAATGGATTAACAGAGCTTGAGGAGAAGGCAGTTTTGTGTAGGCAAAGGATCACAGGAACTTGGCCAAACAGCTCAGACATTTACGAGCGCATTTTTTTCCCAGAAGATTACAGCCGCCACTGAAGCACCAAAGTGAAATGACAGTATTGCACAGCATCCAACAGGCTTGTGTTTGCCAGTGGGGATCTAAACCCCAGCTACTTCACTTGATGTGCTCCGGCAGTCACAGTTACATCAGTGTGTGTGGCTGTGGGTGTGAGTGTACATTTGTCCATTTCAGGGAACACTATCAATTCAATATATCGAATTTTCTTCTAAAAACGTGTACTTTAATTACAAGTTAACCATAGCAAATCACTCCAAATGTTTCAAATTGTGTTGCATGGTGCATAAGATTATAGAGCCAGCACATCTAATTTTAAGTCTGAATCTCGGTTCTTGTAGTAGTCTAAATGTGTATTTTTTCATAGTATTTCATCAGGTCCATGCAATAAACTGTACAAGCTCTTCATTCATTTAACACATTGCCAGACTGAACATGAATGTTATTCTGTTATTAACCAGCAAGAATTTTGCCTGAGTAAAGTAAAGTAAAATCAGCAGGATCTGATCTACTATCAGATGCTAAAAGGATAGGTGGTGGAATCCTCAAGACACTGAAAATAATACCTAATCTCTCATTAGTAGCTCTTGCATATTCTCAAAACCTTAATTGCCAGGTTTCATCCTGGTCTACTTGAGCACAGAATTAGATATGTAAACTCTGTCACAGTTGTTCCTTTTAATTTTTCCTGGAGTGTTTTTCCTAACTATCTCTTCCTTACTATTTTCTGTACTCATCTGGCTGTTAATACATCTCTATAGCTAAACATAGATCGGAGATAATCATGCCATAAAGCTACTCCAGCTCTGTCAAGAACGCCTATAGTTTTGGCAGTGGTAAATGAACTGCCCTCAAAGACGTAAAATTTCTGGGGGGGAAATTAGTTTGGGAGCACGTAGACTAGCATTGAACGAAAGCATTTTGGGTGAGTCATGACTTTTGATACCACACCAGAAGAAAATCAATACAAAGCAGGGTTTTGAAAATCAGCTACCCACATATGTAATGTTGCTGGTCATACTCACTTATGGATTATTGGCAGTTAGTTCTGATTTTAGTTTGTTGTGTGCAATATGAAAGATGGACAGGAAAAGTGTCTGAAATTCTAGCCCTTTGTCATTCCAGCTGAGACACATTACCACTGAGCTGTGAGCTTTACTGTGTTAAATAATACCAATAATATCCAAGAGAGTATGTTTATTAGAGCTATGACAGGCCAGCTGCTGAATTGGACTGTGATGCCCAGCTGCCCAGCCAGGACATCAGCTCTCCGGTTTGCTGGATGTCACAGTAGCCAAAGCGGCAGCAAGGGTTTGTGCCCAGCCTCACTGCTCATGTCATGGCTTAAGTCCCCGATGAAGATGAGTTCACGCGAAGGCATGAGGCTGTAGCGTGGGTGCACGTCATTTCTGCCAAGTCTCTTGCTGTGGTGGTAACTGCGGGCAGAGGTGTGGTAGCTAATAACGGAGGGGGTGGTGACGATAACATCGTGAATTGCTGCAGCTGTTTGCTCTCTGAACGTGAGTCAGAGCCCTCTGCCACACTGGGTAGTGACACGAATGCCTGTCAGGCACAACAGACATTTCAAAGCTGATTAAGACATGTTACATTTAGTTATTCAAATGGGGATCATTTTCTGGTAAAGTACACTGGGGTAGTTAGTACTTCAGTCATCTTTGCCTTCGTTCGCTGACATGTTGCACTGAAATGGCACAGCTGATGAACGGCTGGATGGTTTGTGGAGGTAACACTAGGCTTCATCCTCTCTTGCCCTGTATCTCATATAGTCGCTAACAGCAGTACATACCTGAGTAGGCGGTTACTAAATGACACTTTACAGACATTTCAAATTAATTTTGGACTGGAATAGCTGCCTACTCAAGAAAATTAGGCTTGGGTGTCTACAGCCAGTGCAAACCTACCTCTCCCATGAAGGTTTGACAGGAAAGTGTGCATCCAGCTGAGTTAATTCCAGACCGAGATGTACGACTGACTGTATTGCTCGTATATTCACAGCAGCTAAAATCTCTAGTCAGGCATGAGGATCTCGGTTCACAAGGTGATGTACACAGGTATAGCCAATAGATCATATTTCTTCCTTAAAAATTGCAAATTGCAACCTAGGCATAAAGAAAGAAATGGGAACTTGCCACAGTCATGGAGGAGAAGCAAGAAACAATGAGACAATTTTATTCAATATGACAGACAACTGTACTGGATCATCAGTACCTTCCAGCTGCCATGATATTTATAGACAAACAGGTCGAGCAGTGAAGGAGCGGAGGAGTAGGCTCTCGCCTCTTCACATGAGTCCTTCTTTACTCAGACTGGTAATGTGTTTTCCCATACAGCATGGGAGCTTCTTGGAGAGCTATGCAGATACATAACCAAAATAATTCAAAGTGTAGAGAGATCTCTCTGGAAAAAAGCTCCTGGAACAGGGATTCAAATTTTGCCAAGTGGATCACAACCCAGAATATTTTTCTATGCTATATAGAGGCTAGTAAAATAAAGCCTAGCAGTCTGGGGAACTAATTAGGTTTGAGCACACTGAAAGCATGGTTGGTATGTGCTGCAGTGAACACAGAACTGCATGTTTAGGTATAACAGTCATGAGTAACATCTGGAGTTTAGTGTTGGAGATAAATATATTTTTGGAGACATCGAGGTAGGAAACCCTGAGCTCTAATCTTGCCTTTGAGGCTGACATGATATATGACTTCGAGCAGGTCAGTTAGACTTGGCAGAAAGGGGACTGCAGTGGGTTTCCCATGTCAAGATTCATTCAACTCATGTATGTGCAGTTCCTTGGACGGACATCAATAGCAAATGACTATTGTTGGAGAGGCTGATCATAAAAATGCTGAATGGGATACATTCACTATCATGGGAGTATTAAAAATTATTTGCAACTAATAATTTATTCAGAAGATTGAGTTTGTCTTCTTGTGTATTGTTCACAAGTAGATCATATCTACAGATTGATAGATTATATAAAGGCATTTACTGATATACTTCCAAGGGATTTCTCCTGGTGTAAAGTTCAGTGTGAAAAAGAGTAATTAATAAGGACCTCCAGGCAAGTGGAAAATAGGATACATTGCAACACAGGTTTACTTCATGCATCAGATTAACATGACAGTTTTCTTTGCTGAAAGATTTTTTAGACAAGGGCGATATGGTAGATGTCATCTATGTGGACTTTGATAGAGTAGCTACTCATTAAGTTAGAAAGGTGGAAATCAGTAGATAAAGTGAAGATGGGAGAATTAACTAAAGAGAAAAAGATGATGGATATTACTGAAAGAAGTTTCAGGTTGCAGGGGATGGGCTACCTCAATGATAAGCTTCAGGTGCAATCTTGTGTAATGCATTCCTTAATGAGCTGCCCACAAAAAGCAGGATCGGGCTGGTAAGAAGATGTTGGAAAGCTATAGAGGAGGCTCAAGATATTGGGCCAAAAGAACTGGATAACTCCGTAGCCTGAAACACTTGATGTGGGATAAGATTCAGCCATATAAAGTGCAAGGTCATACACTTGGAAACTGGTAACCAAATCTCCAGGAGAAGATAAGACATCATAGCTAACAATTTAAGACAAGAATGAGGTGGCTACTAGGTCTATTGGAAATGTGATTTATTTGTGAAAAAGCAAATGCAATTGTAGCGCTCAGCAATAAAAGCTGGGGGAAAGGAGGAGAAAGGGGTTGAGGTTATGGCATTTGTCTTCCCATGTAACCGTTACACACGCTGAGACTCTGCCTTCCAGGAAGCACCTAAACACCTATCTGCTGATGTGAAGTAGTGAATGAATTCCTTTTTTGCCTTTGTTTATGCATGCACCTTTGTTTCACTTAAACTGTCATTATCTCAATCTTTATTTCTTGCTTTTGCCCTTCTCTCTCCCATCCTGCTGAGGGAAAGTGAGCAAGTGACTGGGTGGGAGCTTATCTGCCGGGTGGGGTCAATCCACCACATGGCGTCAAACCACTGGGCTCCAGAACAAGCAAGAGTGGTAGGGGCAAATGGCTTTCCTGCTTTTGTGATGGAACTTGATGGTTACCTTCAGGAATTCTACAACAAGACACCAGTGATTCAGGTGTGTCCTTCCAAACCTGCAGTCCTAGATGCTAGAAAATAATCCTAGTATTATTTTCCATGTTGTTATAAAAGGAAGAAAAAATTAATGGCTTTTTATTGGACTGGTAACAGGTCAACACTGTGAGAAAGACAGCTTTCTCCATTATTCTAACAAGCATTGTGGTTTGGAGACAAGGAACAGGAGTTCCCAGTGATCCTCTGTGTTCAGGTGGGCAACTTCAAATTTGTGCAACCCTCTCAGTAGAAGTTAGGCGTACTTTGTGTGAATTCCAGTTGCCTCTTCTATGAATTAGTTCTTGTTCTGAAGGTCTTTTTGACCCCTTCTCTTTCTCTAACTGTTGTTGTTATTTTCTGGCTGTTATATATCCTGGCTGTTGCTGGATTTTCTACTCTGAGTTGGCTAGCATGCTTTCCTTCAACAGTGAGAAAAAGTGTTTACCACACTGAAAATGTGGTGTGGCTTTACTAGCAAATTCGGCTAGTGGAAAGACCAGAGAACTTGTTTGTGCATTCACACAACTGGAAAGCAAGTTTCCAGTGTGGGTTTTTTTATGTTAGCTGTGGCCAGAATTACTGTTCATGTCTTAAATACTAGCCAGGTGTCGGTTAGCTATTTCCTTTTCCACAATGCAGGGAAAACTTAGCACCTTACACAAAGAAAAAAGCTACTACTTATTTTACTCTTTTCTCCCCAGCACAGGCAGTGTAGAAGGAGATATGTTGTTTGGGACCACATCCTTGGTCACTTTTGCGGGAGAGAGGATGCGGTTAGCCTTCTCTTAAACATTTAGCTTGGCCTCCATAGTCTCGTGCTTGGTGAACCTCACTGGTCCTGTTTTACTGGGCGGTTTGTGGGGAACAGCTGGCTAGCAGTTCTTCCCCATTTTATTAGGCAATGTAGTTCATAAAAGTTGCGGCCTTCAGTTTAACCATATTCCTGTGTGGAAAGTCTTGTTCACTGCAGTGTCTTGGCCAGAGACTTTTACATCACTGTAATCAACAAGCACTTAAAGCAGTTATTCCTTGAATGACCTTAGGTTAGCAGGAAGCAAGATGGAAGAATGCTCTTCCAAAAGCAAGGATTTCCAACCTGAGCAGGCACTGCTTTTTACATGTATAAAAACAAGTCATTATTTACCATTTCCACTCAGTTGTCAGTCTAGTCAGCCGCATTAATCACCAAGTTTGACTCAAGGCACAGTAATCAAGCAGTGCAGAAAAGACTATCTGGTAAAGACATTAGAGATGGTACTGATGAAGAAGAAACAGTTTGGTTTTTATTTGCAAATCTCTAGTGCAATTAAAAGTAACAGCTGCTTTCTACTCTGCTCCAGAGTAGAAATTCCTGCAGATCTTTCCCAGGACCAGCTTCCTACAACACTCTGCTCCAGAGCAGAGTGGCAAAATCAACACAATGACACAAGTAAATCTGGCAAATTTTCTTTTTAATACACATTCCACTTTTTTGCCACAGTTTTGCTTTTCTTTTCAAGAAGGACACTTTCCTCATTCAAACAGATGTAATGGCAGCTTCCACCTTGAAGAAGAGGAGGCTCTATGGATCCCAGCTACAGAGACTTGAAATAGAAAAATTGATATGAATGAAACACAAAAGGAAATGCGTGTGTTTGTGGAAGCACAGAAAGAAACAGCAGAACAAAAGTTAAAAGAATGGCTTGTATTGGTAACAGAGGACACAGCTCCTGTCGATCACTGAGAAATGTGGTGTTTCCATCAAGCGCTGAAGGGGACAGCACAGATGACTCGCTAGCTAACGACCCTGCATTCCTGACAAGGATGGCAAAAAGGTTGCAGACTCCCACACAGGCCATTCCTTTTTCTGTCAGCCCAGAATGCCACCTCATTCAGCTTGATTCACACCTTTCCCCAGAGCCTGGGAGAAGCACAGGGCTCTGACACAGGGAAGGATGACACAAATGATTCTTATTACAGCTATTTCCTATCTAGGTAGTGATTTTGGGCTCTTTCGTAGATACTTGCATGTAGGAAATGCAACCTTATACTATATTCTGAAAAGTTCACACATTCACAAAGTCCAGTTTGCATTTGTACAATATGCATTTGCAAAAATAGTATAACTGTGTATGCCACAATTATTTAGTCAGGGTAACTTAAGAACATGGGGCAAAAGAACCAAAACTGGAACTGTGCTATTTCTTCTTCAAACTTCAAACCGATTACCAACAAATTATTTTCTAATTAAACTGGAACAAAATGGTGGAAAAATGGTGGGAAAAAAAGAGTATTTCTGATTGCCAGCTCAAAACAACAGCAGAAATGAAGAGCAATGGCTTGCACTGAAAAATGTGACCAGGAGGGTGTCAGGGAAGATGTGAGGGAGGGAAGTGGTGGCCTCCGAGAGAGGCACAGAAATAAGCAGGTGCCAGGAAGGAAAGTTCCCTTTGACCCGGATGAGCAGTGAGCTGAGTATGTGGCTCTGTCTCCTGGGAGGGAGGAAGATGTTGTACAGGAGGGGTTGACTGGAGAGAGTGAATAGTAAGTCGAGACTCCCACACTTGTCTCTGACCCTCAGAAATTCCTGCAGATCTTTCCCGGCACCAGCTTCCTACAACACCCACTGAACCCTCCCAGTCCCCCTTCCTTACCTACATAAAACCTCTGTCTCCTCTCCTAAACCTCTTTGGCCTCTCCGGTCACTCTCCATTACCTCTGTCCACCCAAACTTACTCAGCAGTTGTAGTGACCCCACTTAGGGAGAGCTGCCAAGCCTTCAAATACTCGAGCCTTTTCAGCTAAAACTGAACTGGCACAACTTCAGTGATAATCTGAAGATGAAGAACCAAACCAAATGAAAACACTTATTAAACTCACTGCCCAGCTGATAAAGGTGGAACATTCAGTAGTGGCATAGAGCAGCAGCAACAATCAGTCTTGCAGACTCTTAAAAGTCCTCAAGTGAAAAGCTACATAGGTTAAACCTAAGCCTTCTGGGTTTGCTTTTCTCACCAACCTTCCATGGACTCCTGCAAGGTGTTTTCAAAGACCCAAGGCTCCACTGATCAATAACTATTGGTTTAGGGAATTGAAATGAAGTCATATAGCTCTTCCCTCCCTTTTTCTGAAGTACAGAGATAGGAAACTGTCTATACCATTTGGTTTCACGTACTAAAAAAGTTGATTTAATTCAGTAGAAAATGCTGAAGCCAAGTAATAGGCCAAAACTTGAGAGAGAATGGGGATACAATTACTTTCTTTTCGGACCCTAAATGAAATATGGGAATTTTTAAATTGTTGCCATCTCACTTATCATCGACAATATTCTCAATTACCAGTGGATTACCAGTGAAATTTCTTCATAAAGAAATAATATAAAGTATATAGAAAGTATAATGAAAAACAAAAGAGCAAATATCAAAATGCTGACTGAATGTCCACTAAACAATATATATTTATTTTCTGTGTCATTGGGTGGACTCAGGCATTTTTCAGGAAAAGCTCTATTGAAAGGCACTGCTCAAGGATTTTTTTCTTAGTATTCTATAAATGCAGAAGAATTTCAAATTATTTGCATACTGCCATCAATGAAAAAAAAAATTTTTGACTGCAGTGTGTTTGTTTAATTCCAGTGCTTTTCAACATGCTTCATGTATTTCCTTTACCTGTAAAGTATCAAGCAGTTCAAGACTAGCTTTCTTTAATCTATAAAATGTTGTTCATATTTAGCAAATAACAAACTAGTTAAGATTGCATGGCAAAAACATTTCAGCTTGAAAACCTCCCTAGAGGGGATGTGCTGGTACCAACAATCTGTACCACCCCATATAAAATAACGACACCCTGCCGCTAATGTGCTTGCTGAACATCGACAAATAAGATGTATAAAGATTTGTAGTCTGATTGTTTGCTCCGTTATGCTAGTATAAAGTGAAATAATGGTAAACAACACTTCTGTAGTTTTATTCTTAATTAAAGCATTAACTCCACTGGGCAGCTTTAATCTCGTACATTGATTTTTTATATAGTCAGAAAGGATTTTAGTACATCCCTGTCATCCATACACTTAACAACTGCAGGGAGGCTCTTGGGGGCTGAGTTGTCCAATTACGTTACTATGCTGTCTCCTGGGTTAGTTTACAATCTTCTTTCCTGGTAGTCAACAGCAAACATGCATGTTTATCCATATCAAGTATTCTTTGTATTTCCAAAATCATGCCTTAATATGTAAGTGCTTATTTAAATAGACCAGATACACAGCCTCAAGACAACTTTAAGCCCATGAATGCCATATTCAAGATGGAACAGTTCTTTCTATGTTGTTCACTCATTTAGATGAAGATGCTAACTTTTAATAAGCTTGTGTGATTTGTGGAGGAAGAATGACTATAAGAAGAAAATTAAGTTTGGGGATGTGTATTATAACACACACATTTCTTTGTCGTATTTCAAATGAGAATACAGGTAGCCTGGAGACCTGGAGCACCTTCCTCTCTGATCATCCTGCTTTTGCACACGCAGCCCAACCCTGCTGTCGTGGTTTAACCTCAGCCGGCAACTGAGCACCACGGTGGGATGGGGAAGAGAATCGGAAGTGTAAAAGTGAGAAAACTTGTGGATTGAGACAAGAGCAGTTTAATAATTGAAATAAAGTAAAATAGTAGTAGTAGTAGTAATAATAATGATAATAATAATACACAAAGCAAGTGATGCACAATGCAGTTGCTCACCACCCGCCGACCGATGCCCAGCCAGTCCCCGAGCAGCGGCCCCCCCAGCCAGCTTTCCCCCAGTTTCTGTACTGAGCATGACGGCACATGGTATGGAATGTCCCTTTGGCCAGTTGGGGTCAGCTGTCCTGGCTGTGCCCCCTCCCGGCTTCTTGTGCACCTCCAGCCTTCTCAGTCGGTAGAGCATGGGAAGCTGGAAAGTCCTTGGCTAGCGTAAGCACTACTTAGCAACAACTCAAACATCCGTGCGTTATCAACTTTGTTCTCATCCTAAATCCAAAGCACAGCACTG